ATTTTCTGCAAAATACTCCATCGTTCATCGTCAGTTGCTGCCACTGCGCCCAGTATGTCTTAAACTCTGGTGATAAGCACTATATCTCTTTCCACTCAGGTCTCTGCTCGTTTCGTTCGATCATTCCTAGAATCTTACCCAAAGTTGCATCAGCTATCTGCGCTTTTCGAATTTCCGCCCTAGTTATTTCAGGATTCAAAGTTATAATCCTAATTCTACCCGACTTCTCTCCATTGTCCACTGTTTCACATACTGATTTTCGATTTTCTTTTGTCTTTGCAGGTTCACTGTCCGTGGTTCTCTGAGACTGGAAATTCGGTTGTTCGGAGCATTCAGGGTCCGTTGATACTGCTTGCACTCCATTATCCAGTTCATCCTCCATTCGTCCACATTGTTGGCATTTTCGAGATAGGCCATCAGCATTTCCGTGCTGTCTGCCTGGTCGGTGAATCAGCTTAATGTCATATTGGCTTATCGTCTCCAACCAGCGAGCAAGTTGTCCTTCTGGATCTTTAAAGTTTGTTAACCATCGGAGTGCTCCATGATCGGTTCTTAGCGTTATGTGCCGTCCATACACATATGGCTTGAAGTGTTTCACAGCGAATATCACTGCTAACAACTCTCTTCGTGTGACACAGTAATTCTTCTCCGCCTTACTCAAGCTGCGACTTGCATAGGCAATCACTTTTTCATGACCATCTTGTATCTGCGAAAGTACTACTCCCAGGGCATATCCACTTGCGTCTGTATCTAAGATAAACTCATTGGATGGTAATGGATAAGACAAAATTGGAGCTGTGATCAACCTGTGCTTTTAGTTCGGCAAAGGCCTTTTCACATTCATCAGTCCATACAAAGGGTCTGTTTTTCTCTGTGAGCCGATGCAACGGTCGTGCTATGTCAGCGAATCCTTGGATAAAGCGACGATAATATGAGGCTAAGCCCAGAAAACTTCGGACATCAGTTACTGTCTCAGGAATTTTCCAGTCCTGTACAGCTTTGATTTTCTCTGGATCAGTAGTAATCCCATCAGCTGAGACAACATGTCCCAAGTACTGTACACTCTGTTGGAGTAGATGAAATTTCTTTGGTTTCAACTTGAGGTTCGCTACCCTTAAACGCTGAAAGACAGATTCTAACCATGCCATTTTGGAGACAAATGCTTTTACAAGTTAATTCTCAGGAAAGCAGTCACTATCGACCACACATGCCGAAAGGTCATTTTGAGGAGTCTAGTTGTACACCTGGGCCAAAGCCCCCCCCCCCCACCAAACTAACATTTTGAAAACAAACCCACTTGAAAGACAGTCCAAATCTGAATGTCGGTTTTGAGCTTGCTTTGCTCCAAAATAAATTTCTCCTTTTAAATGGAAAAAAAATAATCATGCTTTCCGCTGTCTGTAAAGCAGGCACTTTGTAATTTTCAAAGTTTAAATTTTGCAACTCAAAAACCTTAATCCAAACCCCATATGATACATGAAGTACATGTACATGTATGCATGTTGAATAGAAACTATTTATATGACAGTTATTTACCACTCACCTAAACTGCGTACTAAAAACCTAGCATGAATCTACTAATTTGGTTTTTTTTTTGAGGGGGGGGGGGGAATACACTGGATGGATTCAATAAGTTTTCAGGAACAATTTTCAAATGTGTACGACTTTTTGGAGACAGGTGTTCTTTACAAGTCGAAATCTCTGGAAAGCATTCATTATCAACCAAAAGGCCAACTCAGAGGAGACTAGGTGTATACCTGAGCCAAAGACCCCCCCCCTAAAAACGTAGAACCGTACCTGATTTAACTGAGCACCATATTCAACATTTTGAAAACAAACCAATTGAAAGAACAGTCAAAATCTGAATGATTTTGAGCTTTTGCAAATTTGTGCGAATAAAGATATTTTTATAAACCAGGCACTTTGTAGTTTTCAATTTTTAAATTTTGCAACTCCTAAATCTTAAGCTTAACACCATACAGGAAAAAACTTGTACATGGAATACAAACTATTTATACAACAATTAGTTACCACTCATCTAAACTGTGTATGAAAACCAGGCAGGGTTCTAGTCTTTTGGGGGGGGGGGGTAAATACATGTAGGTTCGATTTCATTAATTTCCATGACCCAATTTTCCAAACCTGTAAGATGCCATTTTCCAGAATTAAATGCTCCCATAATCCAAACTCTCAGGAAAGCAAGGGCGGATCCAGAACACAATTTTTGGGGGGGGGGCCAAAAAAAATTTTGGTCCCCCCCCAAAAAAGTGGGTCTAAAAAATTACGGCGTGGGGTTCGGGGCCCGTGAGGGCCCCGAAAATTTTTTGGATTCTAGATGCTCTGTGGTGCGATCTGAGGCAATTTCTGACCACTTTAACCAATTTTTTTGAGGAAAAGATGGTGGTGTACTCATTGCCTGCCTTTATTGCGATGTCACATTAAAAAAAAAAAAAATTGGTTTCGTTTTGGGGGGGGGGGCCATGGCCCCCTTTGGCCCCCCCCCCCCTGGATCCGCCCTTGCAGGAAAGCATTCACTATCAACCAAAACGTCAACAAGGAGGAGACTACGTGTAGCTGTATGCCTGAGCCAAAGCCCCCCCCCCCCCCCCCCAAAGGAAAGTAGAACCGTACCTGATTTAACTGAACACAATATTCAACACTATGGAAACAAACCCATCCAAAAAACAGTCCAAATCTTAACGTCAGTTTTGAGCTTGCTTTGCTCTAAGAAGTTTCTCCTTTTAAATAGAACAAAATAATGAGTCTTGCTTTCTTTGTCTGTAAAGCAGGCACTTTGCAATTAACAATGTTTAAATTGTGCAACTTCTAAATCTTAATCTGAACCCCATACATGAAGTACATGTATGCATTTTCAATGGAACTATTTATACAACAATTAGTTACCACTCATCTAAACTGTGTATGACAACCAGGCAGGGTTCTAGTCATTTTTTTGGGGGGGGGGGGGTTAAATACATGTAGGTTCGATTTCATTAATTTCCATTTCCATGACCCAATTTTCCAAACCTGTAGGATGCCATTTTCCAGAATTAAATGCTCCCATAATTCAAACTCTCAGGAAAGCATTCACTATCAACCAAAACGTCAACAAGGAGGAGACTACATGTAGCTGTACGCCTGAGCCAAAGCCCCCCCCCCCCAAAGGGAAAGTAGAACTGTACCTGATTTAACTGAACACAATATTCAACACTATGGAAACAAACCCATCCAAAAAACAGTCCAAATCTTAACGTCAGTTTTGAGCTTGCTTTACTCCAAAATAAGTTTCTCCTTGTAGATAGAAAAAACAATGAGTCTTGCTTTCTGTGTCTGTAAAGCAGGCACTTTGCAATTATCAATGTTTAAATTATGCAACTTCTAAATCTTAATCTGAACCCCATACATGAAGTACATGTATGCATTTTGAATAGAACTTTTTATACAACAATTAGTTACATTTTCTTTTTAACAGAAAAAAATCAATCGCGCCTTCAGTTCTTTCTGAAAAGCAAAAACTGTTTAATTAAACAAAAATGTGTCATCTGTATTTGGAAATGACCTTATTTTGTTCTTTTTTTTTCAAAATGAAAAAATTACACAATGCCAGAGGACTTCTCTTTCATAACAACCTTTCCAACATAAACTTTTTTGAACAAAATTCTGCAAATGTTGTTTTGGATTGAATGACTTTCTTAGTCATTGTTGTTTATTGTTAACATGCATAAGATTGATTAAATTTTTGAATCACTTTCACGTATCACTTCTTCACTGAAATGTGCTTAACAAACAGAACGTACGTACGAATTACTAATTCGTACGTACGAATTCCTAAACCGTACGTACGGATTACTAAATCGTACGTACGAATTACTAAACCGTACGTACGAATTACTAAATCGTACGTACGAAATAATTAGTACGTATTTCAGGTGGGGGGGGGGGGGGGGCGCGTCATGTGGATCAATGATAATTTTTTCAAATGAAATGTTCCAGCCCCCCAGCGCCGCCCCCCCCCCCCCCCCCCAACTGAAAATCCCTGGCTACGCCACTGCCCCCACGCCCCCCCCCCCCCTCCCGTGGCTACGCCACTGAGTAATTCGTACGTGCGATTTATTAATTCGTACGTACGGTTTAGTAATTCGTACGTACGAATTAGTAATTCGTACGTACGAATTAGTATTTCGTACGTACGGTTAATTCGTAGTAGTACGAATTAGTTTAATTTTTAACCATGTCCTATCTACACTTCCTTACATTTTGCACCTGCATCATGTGCACTGCTGTGCTCAAGTATAGGGAACGCACGCATAACACACAACCTACTTGCAAAACAGGCTGAAAAAATTACAATTTACATGCATATACATGTATGCAAATACGCCAAGTCAGACGACAATTTACAGCATGTGTTGTCCTTCGCGACAGGTCTCCAGGGTGCTGACTTAGCCGGGGTATGATTTCCTGACTTTAATAAACGATTTTTAACATTGGGTTGTGTAGTTGTGTATTAACGTCAGGAGATCCTAACATCTGTAACACCAAAATATACAAAATTTGTCCGGGTTAAAATTTTCAATGCAAATACTGAGTGAATTTTGAGCCCTTGAAACTCTATACAATGCATCTCAGATACTGAACGTTTCACTCACAAATTTTGAGGCAAAATTCATACATTTAAATACTACATGTTACGCATTGTTTTTCTCCAGGCACGTACATTCATGTTGCAGCCAAGGTTTGGGTCACATGCTGAAGTCACTGTGACCTTAGTAAACTTGTATAAGTTACTTTGTTGATCTTATGTGCACAAAAATTACCAAACTTGAAATTGCGCCCTTTATTTTTTCACGCATGACGATATCAACAAAGTAACTTGTACAAGTTTACTAAGGTCACAGTGAATTCAGCATGTGACCCAAACCTTGGCTGTAACATGAATGTACGTGCCTGGCGAAAACATTGTGTAACATTGAGTGTTTAAAAGCATGAATTTTGCCTCAAAATTTGTGAGTGAAACGTTATGGTATGCATTGGGTAGAGTTTCAAGGGCCCAAAATTCATTTAGTTACAATGTAAATTGCATTGAAATTTTTTACCCGGACAAATTGTTGTATATTCTGGTGTTTCAGATGCTAGGATCTCCTGTTGTTACACGCCCAATGTTTAAAAAAATTGTATTACAGACTTACAGTCAGGAAATCATGACTGGGATCTCCTGTACATCACAAACTAGTTGCTGCAAAAGTTTGGGATAATCACTTACAAAAATAATTTGTTTCTGAGGCCTTGAACCTTTGGCGAGTACTTGATTGTGTCCAGCTCCATGATGATTTTCTGCAGAACTTCAAAGAGGTACTTATGCTCCTTGGGATAGCTGAGATTCATGGCATATATGACGCCGAAGAGTAAAGCACACGCAGTAGCCACATCGCTGATGTTGCTCAGGATTTCCACTCCCTCGACAACAAGCGACACATCTGCAGGAAGATCCCATTCACCAGCCTTCCTGGAAACAAAGATGCCCATCGTGGATCTTTCTTGCTGCTCTTTCATTTCTTCTTTCTGGGTATCCTGTGAAAAAATAAAACAAAGAATAATACCAGATGATTTTTTTTTGAATATATTATTAGGCAGAGGATTTTCATAAATACAAAGTATATTTTACAATGTACAATATAAACAATGATAAAACTCCATACTTATTGAACGGCATACTTGTACGACGATTGAGCTTTAAGGCACCTCCTGTGTCTTAAACTGTTAAAGCATGGAGGAATAAGAAAGTTTCTTGAACTTGAAGTACATCACGACTATCACTATGTACCCATTTACTATACTAGCCAGTGCAAATCCTTTTCATGAAAAAAAAGTACATCATATTATGCTAAAAAAAATTTTTTTTTTAAATATTGCAACCTTTTTCAAACGTAGATATTATGAACATAGGCTTTCATAGAATTCATCAATAACTTGCATGTAATTTTCATGAAATTGTTCACTCTTTTGTGCACACAATGTACACGTACTTTCCCAATGAGCATGTACTGTACATTGCACCAGTGTGTACATGCACAAACTTCCGAGTTCTTTTCATTACATAAAAACATGAACAGCGCCGCCATTGGCAAGTTCTGATAATTTTATGCGATCCCCTATTCACTTAGATGTATCTCAACTATGTGCCCCCAAAGGGCCCGACTGCTGACCTTTGCAACGTTGTTTACAATACGTACAGGTACACATGTGCGTTCTAAGTTGTACTGGAGAAAATACCGCCTGGGTGATTTTGCACAATGGTAGATCATGGAGGTAGAGACTAAGGCACTTTGCAAAATCACCCAAGCGGTATTTGCGATAAGGCTTACGTAGCCTAGTTCCCAAAATTGTTTTGAATTTTTCCAGCTAATACTTACCGAGAAGTGTTTGACGAGGATCCCAATGTCTTCATTCAGGTACTCGCAAAGGGCTCTGATGACAACCTCTCTTTTGACAGCAATGGAGTTGCTCTGTTGTGACACATGGACATGATGGGAATACAAATTCAAATAGCAGCTTTCATTTGATGGTAAGAGAGAAATAAAAGAAACATATTTAGTAGGAGCCATATTGTTATTGGTCAAGCTGCCCCACTGTTTACTTTTCAACTGAGCATGGAGCTAGAAATAGGCTTGTGTGTGGGTGAGTGAAAATTCTTGTAATTTAACCATTTTAATGACGTAAGGATTATTACACTCCACACGACATCATTCTTTTCAGGGAGTTGACGGTCAGCTCTTTGCATCCGGCGTTCCTTAATTTTGTTCGGTAGTTGGCCATCTTGAATTTCAGGCTTATTTTCCAGCCATACCAGCCACTTACCGAACCCTGCTCTTTTAGACATGGGTGCTTGGCAATCAAGGCCCTTGCCACAGCACCCAACTCCAAGTCACTTGGGTATGCCTTGAAGGTGAAAATTGTCTCAGCAATTTTTTCTAGCACGTTTGATTTTATCCATGCAGGGTTCATCAGGGTTCTGTCCTTTTCGTAGTCTGCTTGTCCTTTTGCAATCTTCAGTTCTGTTTCGTAGGAGAACCTTGGAATTGGGAAATCTTTTGGCCATGCTTGTCTTCCTTGTACATGTATGCTGTCAGACCCAGAAGACGACAGGATTGATGTGTCTGAATGAGCTGACAAACCAGATTCCTCCGATGTGATTGATGAAGTTGAAGCACTTGGTGTTGACTTATTTGACTGAAGGAGTTCCTGATAAAGGCTTTCCGTTAATTCATCAGAATCACAAGCCGAATCGGGCACAGATGTATAGACGACTCTTAAGGTGCATTTGTCTACCACTTCTGACATTTCCAACAAATTGCAGAATTCGTGAAAATCATCATCAAGGTACTGAATCTTAAAATCCCTATCTACCGGTAGTCCAAATTTAGTTTTCAGGTTTTCAGAGAGTTCTTCGATACTTTGTGGTTGTGATTGGAGGATGAGCTTTCTTATGTCATTTTCTTCAAGTATTATCCTCAGCTTCAAAGGAGGCTCCAAACTGAAAGTTTGCTGCCATCATGAGATTTGTCTGAAACAAAAGAAGCACAAACAGTACCAGAAAAATTAATATTATAATGAAAGTTCTTTTCAAAACTTGCACAGAATGTGGTGTAGCCATGAGTTACAGTGTAATGTGTGCTCTTTTTGTATGGCTTTACTATTGAGGACAGGCACACAAACATGACAAAGGGAGAACAAAAGATCCCTTCAGTCCTCAAAGGAAGGTTCTTCTGTTGAAAGTTGTCCTGGAAGGAGTGCAGTTTGTGTGTTTAGATATGAAAGAGTGTTTGGGTACATGTACAAGGACAAAGGAAAACACAAAGCTTTGTCCTTGTGGGTCTAGTAAAACACGACTGTGAGTGTGTGTATCTTTTTTTATGGGGTATGGTAGGACACACCTTTGACGGTTTATTACGGAAAATGGGTACAGGAGGTCAATTGAGGATGTCCTCCATTAGAAATTGTGTACATAACAAAAGGGATCTGTTGCTAAGTTTAATTATGAACAAAGGATCAATGGTCAGGTACCTGGGTGTGTGTGAGTTTGTTTCTGCATTCAATAGGGGATGTTGAACACTATAGGACAATAGGGTCCACAATTCCTGAATATCCCCAATTGACAATCATGTACAAAACATATGGGAAGTCTTCCAAAAAAAGAATTAAAAATAGAGGAACAATAGGGAGGCAACATACTGCACATGTATGTAAGTGTCCAGGGTTGGGTGAGGTCAATGATTGAGGAATTGTAATAGGGGCTCTTCATACAAAATTAGTATAAACAATAGGAGGACAATAGTCCTAGGTCTAAGATTGCTAATACAGTATTTACACAGATGTGAGGAAGGGCTGTGCAAAATATTCGAATATTCAATCAATCATCAAATATTGGAATATTGGTTTTCGGAATCAAATATTCTGCCTACCGGTATAACTGAATATTTGACTATTTGATCGAATGGAGATTTCGAATATTTGAATATTTAATTATTCGATTTTTGACTCGGCCCTAGTGTGTGTTGCAAGGGGGGGGGGGCACAAGCACTTTTTAGGTGTGCATCATCAAGGCAGGGACCCCAACAAAAGTGGGGGTTGGTGGACCTTTTTTTGGTGTGAGAGGGTGTGTTTTTTTTTCTTATCAATTTCAGATTTCATAAATCCATAAGCTAAACGGATTTGGCAATAAGTAAAAAAACAAGTCATATGTAGACATTCATTTGCTGGTTAACTGAAAAAAATCTGTACATTTACCTATGCCTAGGAATTGCATGTTGAGATGAATCTTTTCAAAGTAACCATGCGTTTTCCTCCAACCAGGTATGCTGCCAAAGGGTAATAGTCGGTCAGTTCCTCAGTGTCCACAATGACTAGCTGCTTGACAGATGACACTAGCTGAAACGATCTCAGGTGTTCTATTTACCATGCACTTAGCTTTTTTACAATAAAGCTTAATTTGTCTCGCACTATAACCAGATGTACAATTTCAACGAAGTCTGGGAGCCCTCCACTTGAGCCTACTGTGAGAATCATTCCAACCATGTAGTTGGTTCCATGGTAGGAAGCCCTCTTGGTCAACTGTACAGTTTTTAGGTGTGGATATTTTTGCTTTACAACCTGTTTAATATCATCCCTTACTACATCTAGAGGAACATTTGAGACACTGGTGACTTCTAGAGCCGTCTTGATGGACTTTGAGGAATGGTACTCATAAGAAATCATCAACTGATGCTTCATCGCAAGTGTGAACAATATGTTTTTGAAGCAATTTGTATATCGTGCAACTTGCTTGAAAAAGCTATGTTTTGCTTCAATTCGCATTGTCCAAAGAGCTACCACAGGACCAAATGAGCGGATCAACTGGGGATAATGTTCAATGAAGTGATGTTTCGGGATCAATTTAATATCAGGGAAAACCTCTTGATATTTCTGGCGATGCTCAGAGATTTTGCAATCAAGAAATGCAATAGTTTTTTCAGTATGAACAGGTGCCACGACAAGTTCCAGTATGTCCTTCAGGTCCATTAAAATCTCCCATGCTGGCTCGCCAGAAGGTATGATTGATCCTACAATAAATGGGAGCAACCTCAACAAAGTCCAATTTTCAGCAGCATTGCCGCCAATAGTGGATGCGAACTTCTTTGGAATAGGTTGTGGGCAATTCTTCCTATCAGCCCACTTGTAAGCAAAAGACTTGATTAATTCATTCAGTCTATCAAGTGTGAAGTACTTCTTGGAAATGAGTTTGTGGAAGCAACGTGCAAGTTCTACAGGGATGATCCCTTCAAGTAAGTCGTGTAATACATCAGGAGGATAGCCTGTTAGTACATGAAAGTGGCTGAGTGTTTCAGTCACAGCACAGTTTGTTTTTACACCGCAGCAATTATTCAGAGCTCTATCTTCCTGAACAGTCCTAACATGCTCCAAATGATTTTCTTTAGTCCTCAATTGAAATGCACCTGATCTAACTTCCTTTGATTGAAAATCAGCATGCTTTCCTGTGCAAAATCTACAGATATAATGCCCAGTGAAATTTTCAACAAAGCCCCCAACACCATGGGCACCAAGATTGTCTGCGACTACGCACTGAACAGAGCCTTTTACCCTTTTTCCCAATTTGGAAATAAAGATGCCCTCCTCTTCAAGGGTTATGAGATCTTTCAACAGTGGCTCTAAAATTTGGCTGTATCCATATTTCTTCACATGGATGTTTTTACACAGAATGGCTACATTAATGGATGCCAATGAAGACCGGGACATGGTTGGCAAATCTGACAAGACCCAATAGACAGCACAAACTTTGTGTTTCTTTCTAGATGTGCCAAGTGGGTTACACACTTCGAAATCATCCACATATAGCCCAACTGCAATTCGACACTCCTCTCCAGAAAAAAAAAGGATTCTCTTTGAAGAAGACCCCATCACGAAATGTTTTGTACTTCAAAATATGTGTATCATCAGCTGCTTCATTTTGTGATGCTGCGCAATTTTGCACTATTTTATCAAGGACTTCATCTACACCAAGTACCTGGTGCAAGGATTGTAGAATTGGTACATACTGATAGGTGAGTTTTTCCTTTGCATCAAGAATATATTCAACAGGTTGGACAACATTGAAGTTTTTTTTATAATACTCTTTGCGTTTGTAGGCTGTTGCAAGAGGACCATCCTTTCCAATTGCTGAGATGATGGGATTATTTGAATTCACAGCATTCGCTAATTCTCTAATTATGTCTTGGTCAACATTACAGTTGTGTTTTTGAAAAATAACTTCCAGTACATTAGTTATGGCAGGCGTAGAAACAGAAACAATGAATTCCAGCTCCTTGACCAACTCATCAATTGCTGTGCCTGATACATGCAAAAGATTTTCCAATTTGAGCAAAAGACTTGCAATGTTATGTTCAATGGTTTGTGGGTAACCCTCTAAATCTTCAGAAGTGTCAGCAGCAAGATAATCTTCGTCTCCCTCAACAACATCTTCTACTTGTGAATCAAAATCTTCTTGTGAATCTGTAGCAGCTACATGTAGACATCCTGATCTGTCTACAATCCCACTTTTGAAATCTTGAAGAGTATGAGTCGTGTGTTTTCTGCTCTTGTGAGATCTAAATGTCCCATGCACATTTGTTGTGAAAGAACAACCTTCAAACATGCACGCAACAGTTTCATGTTTTTTTAAGTGTTTGCCAATATGTTCAAAATAAGATGCCTTTGTAGTTATTGGGTCGATTTGTTCACAGACATGGCATTTGAAGGAAACTGCTCTTGACACATTCAATTGACCTGCATGTGGACTTTCTGTAGAGTGATACCGAGACAAATGGGTTCGCAGAGCACTACTTGTTTTAAATCGACAGGGGCAATCATAGTACAAACATGGTTGAGGATTATTAGGACCGTAATGCCCATGCTGAAGCTTGTAGTGTTTATGTAATTTTGACCTTAAGGCTGTGGTAAAACTACAATCTTTACACCGCCCGGCACTGCAGAGGAAAAAACCAGAAAGAGAGAACAAACAGCCCTTTACAAACTCTTCAGCCAGACGGTAATCAAAGAAATGAAATTCACTTTATGTACAGTTCATACAACGTTAACATACCAGTAGTCCAGCGGATATTATGTAAAAAAATTGTGTACGTTTTTACACAAGTTTGAAACTTTGTACAGACCTTT